GGCGCCGTCCGAGCGCAGGGCCTGAGCGCCCCGGAAAGCCATCCCGCCTCCGGCCTCGCAGCCGCCTGCCGCCTCGATGCGCGGCGCGGCCCGGCCCGGCGCGGCCCTCCTGCACCCGCTCCACGGTCTGATGGCCTCGCTCCTACTCTACTGGCAGCTGCTCTGTCCCGTCTGGGAAACAGATATGCAAAATAAAAAGAAGCGGTCAAGAAAACTTAGTGGGACGGTAACAGTGGGGTTGAGGCTACTGCCCCACGTATGGAAAGAAGTTGAAGATTTAACAAATGTTACCACCGGTCACAAACTGATAAATGAGGCGAACATTTCCGGTTAAGTCACAGTTTTTCTCATAGTCCAGGCACTGCCCTCGCCTCTCACCCCTGGATCCTCTCACCTTCTCTCGCTCCCTGCCTGTGATACTGTGTCACCACTCCCTTCCCCAGCTTGCTCTGTTGGCTGTGAGCGCTGCTGCTCCTTGCATCTTCATTCTCTTTCCTCCGACTCTCACCACAGTTTCGACAGTACTCGGATGGAGTATGCCTCAGAATTAAACATTCCATTCTTTCTACTTCCCTCTGCGTAACTCTCCGGTAACGGCCTGCCTGCTGTCTCCTATAATCCATTCCTTGGTATCTCCGCGTTCCATAACACTCTACAGGGTGACTTCCCAATCTCCTGAAACTGCTCCCGGGGGATAGCCGTGTCCCTTCCTATGGCACCGCTAACGGAGCCCTGTACGACGGATCCTGATTTTAGGGAGCACTTCACCTGAAGAGCAAGCTAACAGTTCTCAAACACTGACAGGAAATCCATCCGTGCGCAAGGCCAGCTGTGCTCTGGGGGAGGCAGCGATCCGGAACCTCCCGATCTTGAGGGGCAGGAGGGGACGGGAAGTCTGTCCAGCAACATAGTCCCTGCATCTAAGCCTACTTGGCAGGCCAGCGCTTCGCACGTGTACCTCCCGGCCTCTGTGTCTCTGCAGTCTGCTGCCATTCCTGCCCTTTCTTTCTCTGGATGGGTCTCCTCATGTCCTTGGTGATATTTTTGTTTGTCACTGTGTTACCCTTAAGCACAGATATACACCGCAGAGTGTTATCGCATACTAACTACTTCTGACTATAGTAACACCTCGGTACCGCTTGCTAATTCCTTCTGGAAAGCATGATAAATGCTGAAAACAATGCGTACAGAACAAATTTCTCCCATTAGACATAATTTGTGCAAGTCCCCCGCCCAACTTTCACATTTTACTGGGCTAATCTCAGTCATTTACTGCTTAACATAAGCCTTGAATACTGGGTCTGACTAGCTCTAAAGCTGACAAATGCCAATGTACAGCTGAATTATCTGCAGCCCTGCTTCTTCGGTGAGTATCTGCTCTGCTTCTAGATCTTTCTTCATGAAACTCATTGTTGTTACTTTCCTAAAATGAGGTTACTATCTGTCTTCTCAAATCATTAGGGAAATCCCCATTTTACAGCTGCATGGGTTTAAAATATGGGAGGTAACCCTGGGTTTCCCAGTGCACTCAAATACTATTGATTCCATTCTTTGAAGACTGCTTGCCGAGCACCAGCTTCTGTGTTACCTCCTCATTGTCCACTACCAGGGTGAGGAGTAACTGGCACTTTTCAAATCCATTCCCTATACCGGGCTGTCCTATAACATCATTTGAGTTACATCTTTTTCCTGCACAACAAGCTCCTTTGTAATAATTGCCAAATAAAAAGTTAGCCAGGGGGCTGGGAATATAGCTCAATGGCACGCACATGCTTGGCAAGCATGTGAGTTAAATTCCTAGTTTTAAAAAAAAACAAAACAAACAAAAAACAAAAAATAAAAAACCAACTAATCAGCAAACATTTTCAAATCGGGCAGGGGCTTCTACCTTAATTTCCAAGAAATAAGATCAAAGAGGGTTTCTGAGAGAACAGTTCATATGTAAAGTGAAATTCTTTTGTTTTCTGGACAGGGACCAAGTGCCCTTCCCCCCAAGTCCAGTGTCTCCCCAAGATATGTGTCCTTCCCACCCTACCCTTAACTTACTTGGGCACTAGTCATGAATAATTATCCATCCTGCCTGGGCATCCTCTTACCCTCTATTTTACTCCTTTCCAGCCATTTAAAAACATAGTTTTTACTTCTCTGTTAGAACTTGGACCACCCTTCATTCACTACTCCACTCTCTCCTCCTTCAACCCAGACTGTCATAAAGTAGTGAAAGTTTGCATGTTGACACAGTTCTGACAAGCCTTTCTCCTGCTGCAAATTCTTTGCCTGTCCTCTGTTGCCTACTATACTTAGGTCTCATCTTGTTTGGAGCTTGTCACATGCTGACGTCTCTTGCCACTCACCCCTGTCACCCAGCTGATACCCAGACAGACACTTACAGGTAAACCCATTAGCAAGGCTCCCCAGCCATGGGCCATTCCTCGGGCAAGAGCAGGGGATTGAACTCAGGCCCTTGCGCTTGCCAGGGAAGCACTTATTCCACTGAGCCATCTCCCCGGCCCCCTCCCTTTCACTCTAAATTTCTCTTCTGCCTCCTCTCCCTCTCAAACCCCACTATTTTCCTGCAAAGGCTTGCTCGGTCTGTAAAGGCTTTCTCCGTGCTCTCCTCTGGGAGCCACTTGGTTGATTTATGTCTTCAGTGGATGTCATCATTGAGGTACCTTCCTCCTCCACTAGTCACAGATTCTTATACTCACAGTGAGAATTTGACAACTTGCAAGCATTTTAAGACATGATTTCTTTTGGAAAAATACACAGTTGTTTGGAAAATTAAGAAAATGCACAGATGAACATGGAGAACAGCACCTAGGATAATGCTCGGTATAGCTGGTATTCATTAAAACACTAAATGAATGAAACTGGGTGTGAGTTTTCCTTTCCCAAAATTATACCAAATAAAATACAACATTTGACAATACTTGCATTTTATATGTTAACTTTATATGGTCTTATAAGATAAGTACATGTATCTGATGCTGGGAAACTAAAAGAGAAGGAGGGTGAGAAAAGGAGGACTGGACTCTTTTATGTACATGTGTCAATCCCATACAGTGAATGTAATCATTGTATACTTAAACATATACAAATAAAAGTTTAAAAAATCTTGAAAAAAAAACTGAACTATTTATAGTGGATTTTCATATAAGGAAGATGTCAGTGGTAAAAATAATTCACATAATTTTGAATTAATCTATTCTTCGGAAAGATTTTTTTTAATTACTTGAACATTTTGATTCTTCCCCCCTGGCAAATGTTTAATTATTTTATCCCAAACAACACCAATTAGAAGTTAAGGCCTTGAAATATATTTTATGGTAGTAACAAACTAGCTCAAGACTTTTAGAAAATATAAATAAAAGTGGATGGAACATGTCACTTTCACAAGCATCTTCAAAGAAGTTAAATTCAATGTCTGCAAATCTAGGCTGTGCACACTTAGCCACCTACCCACTCATCCATCTCTGTATTTCATCCTCACTTTCGTGGTGATACATTCATTTGGTAGTACTTTATGAATGCTGGGAGCACAGGCTCTGAAAATGTAACCCTTTATTAGCATTTTTTCTTTCCAACAGCCAGCAGAAACTGATAGTCTCCAATTCCTGTCTAATCACTGCTGTATCCAGAGTTCTGATTTCCACCACCTGCAATGCTCAGCGTCCTCCCGCCTCTCTGTGGCCATTCCTATAGCCTAGACTGAAAGTGCTGCAGGCCGCTGCATTGGCACTGGACTTGTCCAGCCACCTGATTTCATAGGCACCATCAATCTAGTTAAAGCTACGCTGTGGTCTGTTTCCACAGCATTGTGCAAAATTTCACTCATATTGTCCCTGTCTTCCCTTAGTTTACTTGGTTATTAGTTATAAGCAGCCATCTGTTTAACTGCGGAATACTCTCACCCTCTATTATCTCTGGTTTCCAGAGAATCCAAAGCATTGCTTCTACTTCTTTGCCAGAACTCTGGCCACCCATGCTTTACCACTCCATTCAGAAAACTAAACACTAAGGCTTAGATGCCTGAGTCAGTAATTCTTCAATTTAACCCTTGTGCAGGACGAACGTATTCAAATGTGAGTGTTGTATCAGCCATGCCAGAGCCATCTTTTAATTTGTTACCTCTGCCTTGAGCATTCTCCCTATCCACATCATTTTACTATCATGCATAGCTGTATTTATTTCACAACACTTCCATTGTTCATATCACATAATCTTCAAAGCAGCCCTACGTAGTATGAACTGTTCTTACCTTTTAAAAATGAGCAAACGAAGTCAGATTGATAAGTATTTTGCCTAAGATCACACAGTTAATAAATATTCAAAGCAAGATTAGAATCTTAGTCTGTTTTTATACATTAAAGTTCTGACTCTTACATCGACTGCCTAAGAGTCATGCTGTGAGCAGCAGCAACCTCTCCTCTCGTCTCCATCCGCTTGGCGATTGTGAAGCAGCAGCCATGCGCAAGTGCATCTCTACCCACGCTGGCCAGGCTGGTGTCCAGATTGGCAACGCCTGCTGGGAGCTCTACTGCCTAGAACATGGCGTCCAGCCCAATGGCCAGATGCCAAGTGACAAGACCATTGGGGGCGGAGACGACTCCTTCAACACCTTCTTCAGCGAGACTGGTGCTGGTAAACATGTGCCTAGGGCAGTGTTTGTAGACCTGGAACCCACAGTCATTGTTGAAGTGTGTACTGGTACCTACCGCCAGCTCTTCCACCCTGAGCAGCTCAGTACAGGCAAGGAAGATGCTGCCAACAATTATGCCCGTGGGCACTACACCATTGGCAAGGAGATCATTGACCTCATCTTGGACCGAATTCAGAAATTGGCTGACCAGTGCTCAGGTCTGCAGGGCTTCCTGGTTTTCCACAGCTTTGGTGGGGGCACTGGCTCTGGCTTCACCTCCCTGCTGATGGAATGTCTCTCCATCGACTATGGCAAGAAGTCCAAGCTTGAATTCTCCATTTACCCAGCCCCCCAGGTCTCCACAGCTGTAGTAGAGCCCTATACCTCCATCCTCACCCCCCACACCACCCTGGAGCACTCTGATTGTGCCTTCATGGTAGACAGTGAAGCCATCTATGACATGTGTCATAGAAACCTCGATATTGAGTGCCCCACCTACACTAACCTGAATAGGTTGATAGGTCAAATTGTGTCTTCCATCACTGCTTCCCTCAGATTTGATGGAGCCCTGAATGTGGATCTGACAGAATTCCAGAC